TTCTAAATCCACAGGGTTGACTTTTTTTAGCAGCCGAGATTTTTATCCTGTTGGGCGGCTGTGATGCGACTTGTTCTGTACAAGCAAATGTGAAAATTATCGGGAAATGTAAATCTTATCCTGGGGAAGGTGGGCGTGCTTTATTCTTCAGGATGATGATTATCTATGCAGGAGCTACAGATTTCTGTGGTCAAAATCAACAACAAGGCTTGCTTTCACAGGGGATATGCATTCCTGTTGCTTTGCGGCATCAAATTCGAACTTGCTATGGCGGAAGAAGATTCATGTTTCCAGGCGGGCCTGCCTGCTGTTGGAACTTGGCAAGGAAAGAGTAGGGAGTAATTGGAAATTACTTGTGCTACATTCTTCTGCCAAATGACACATTGCATGGTTGAAAAGCTTACCATTTGACGCTTTGGGTAGGAAAAAACAAACCCACCTAGTCGTTTCTATTTCTGCTGTGCGAAAGTATGACAGAAATGCTCACCTCATTGCCAACAAGAATGTGTTTTACGACTTGGAAGCAAATTTCTCAATATCAATCCGTGCACGTCGGGTTCAAAACGAGTCAATTTGTCAAACAAAGATAAGATAAATGCTTTGAACTTGTATGAATTTAGACTAATCAGCTCCTTTGACGTTACTACCTTGTACCATCTTCATCCTCTTTGCCAGGAGACGTCACCGTTGGTTATAATCATAGCCGAAAAACTTGACTTCAAACCCATTTCGGATTGCAAAGATCAGTGGCCCAAAAGATGCACTTATGTCCAAAGTTACATCTCTCTTTCATTTTCTATTCAAAATGTATCTCTCCTCCTCCTTATTCTTCCTAAAACCCCAATGCTTGGTAGGTAGGGTGAAAACAAACTCATTGCTTAACAGTACTAATGTTGTTGTTGTGCAACTTTTCTCTTTGGATTTCATTTATGTACCTTGTACAATAAACCTCACCTTATCATAATGTTTCAAGTTGCAAGCTTTGTCTGAAATTGGAGAGTAAAGTTTGTCGACCCATTTTATCTTTTATTGATATCTTTTGGTTTAAAATTTTAAACCTCTTAATCTCTTTGATCTACTTGAATATAATTACTTTTATTAAAACAGGATTGAAATGATTAATTTTTCATAACCATCATAATTTTTACAAAAAATTAATTATCATCAAATTCATTATCAGTATGTATTTCATGCTCACATAATAACTTGATTAAAAGACTTTGATCACGTGATGACAATTTAACAGGCTTTAACCATGTGGCCTAAGCCAAGAAAAAGTCCTTCCCACGAAGTATAAGTAAATACCATTGTACCAAGAAGCTTAATTAAGTTCAAATTTAAAACCAAAAAAAAAATCTGGATTAAATTAAGAAGGTAAAGACAAATGTATGGGTGTAGTTGGTTGGCTGTCCCCATTTTAAAGATGCTCGACACTGAATAATGGATTTCCTACCACCAAAACCTGGGCCTAGTATATATGAATATAGTATAATCCAAAGAGATAAGCTAGGTTTGGTAAATGGCTAAGCCTAAAGGCTAGATGACATCCATTGGTCCCTCCTCAAAATTGACCTAATTTCCTCCAATTGCCCTCCCTTCATTTACTTGTATTAATACTTTTTTTAAAAAAATAATTATAGAATTAATTTATCAAACCTAGGCTTAGAATATCTGTCTGCCAATAAGGAAAAGTCCACCATGCATAAATTACCACTCTCATTGGCATTTCTTGTTGCTTGTCCAAGTGGTGCTCATGCTCATCTCCGGGCCCTTCATCTACAGGAACAAATCCACTCCCCTTCCTTTCTTTCTCTTTGCAAATTGCCATCTATATTTCCACCCGTTTTACCATTTTTTTATTGCCTCAAAAAAATCTCTTATAAAAATAAGTACTCGTTACCCACTAACTCAAATTGATACTATGATCTTCCATGCTGAACTAGTCCATTAGTCAAATCCTTGGATCCATTCGAATCTTAATCCGATTAATTTTTTGATTAATTAAAATAATGATCTGATTATCATCAATAATTCAGTTCCAATAGCTTAATCTACCCTATCCATTGAACTCATCTGTGCCATGAGTCTCGATTTGCACCACCAATGTATTCAAGCTGGCAGAATTTGAAGTCAACCTCATCAATTTTCAAGCTTCCACCATGTAAATTGTCAACAGATTCTATCCTTACAATATTTTTTTCTTTTCTTTTTTTATAAAGATTTCTTAGGGTTAAGGTGATAAGTTTGATTGTATTTATAAAATAAATACTGAGACATGTGAGTTGTTTTTATACTGTATGCACTTCTAACAACAACAATATGCTATTTTTAATCAAAAATTGATTGACATAGACTATACATCTCCAACAAAGTTTAAATAGGTAAATTAAAAAATGTTAAATAGTATAATTTAACCTTATAAATGTAATTTATAATTCATATGACTGTTGTAATTACGTTAAATGAATGCACATTCAATTCATGGTAACAGCTCACTGTCATTATCCTTTTGGATGAACGAACGCAAAACGTGCCACGAAAAGGATATTACTAGAAATAAATTTTCTTATTCTCTTTTATCTAATAAATATTTTTTTTAAAAAAAACAAGTAACCCTTTTCTTTGTAAAGCTATTAATAATATAATTCCATCGATTCGATTATTGTTTTATAAAAATCAATAAATGAATGTAAATTGAATTTGATTATTTTAATTTTAAAGTATAATTCAATCGATTTGATTGTTTTTTATAAAAATTAATAGATGGAATATAAATTTGTTTAGATTATTTTAAATTTAAAATATAATTAAATCGATTTAATTATTGTTAATTTTAAAATCGAAACAATCAAAATGCATGGAATATTCAGTCTACTAAAAATAGTAATAAAATCAATATGGATTAGTATTTATGTGGATAGAGACCAGGGATACGGAAGGGAGAGTGATTGAATGAAGAAGAGATATGGCTTAGGTAATTAAGACCGCATACAACAAAAAACGTGTTCTTGGGGATTTTATCTGGTCCTTGTCGTTGCCACGTCATTACGAACGTGTCTAACCGCGTTGTATTCAATCAACCCGCCCTAACTCGCCGCCGGCGGAAAGTTGAACGTTAAAAACTTTCCCGTCCAGTCTGTATAAACATACGAAAATACGAATACGTATGACGTACTACAAAAATACATAACAAATCCCATAATTTTTTTAATATTATTTTATATTTATCTACAATCTATCTAATCCGTCTGTTATCGTGTTCTGTTGTTTTCTCCTTTTGCTTCTAACATTCTCTCTCTAAAGCTAAAAGCTTTTTCATTTCGTCTCTCTGTTTGAGAAGTGAAATATAATGGGGAGACATGGATAGCCGTGTTGCTGTTGGTCCCCTTGGTATCTTTTGTGCTTAGCTCTTAAAAATCCTTAACGTGCGCACCCTTTCATCCTCTTGTCCTGCGCATCTTTTGTTCCCTGTCTCTCTCAGCTGCCCGGATAGTTAGCATACTGTTCCACGCCTTGAGCTTCCGATTGATGACAGTGAACCCCACCCGGAAGGCAAGGAGAAAGCGAAGACGAAGACCAAGAGGAGAAGGTTGAAACTTTGTTGAATTTTGCGAGTCGAGTTTCGTGGTGGTATCTTGAAGGAGAAAAAACTATGGAGGTTCTGGTGGGTTCCACGTTCGGCATCGAGGTTGCTGCGTCCACCACGTACGTTAGAGACCGGCCTCAGGAGAAGATTTCCTCCTCCTCCGCCGCCTCTTGCTTGTTTATCAAGGAGCACGATGCTGGTGGCGCCGATCCCACCGGGGAGGAACAGGGTCCGATCTCGGTCTGCGGAGCTATCTTCGGAGAGTTCGTCTTCGATCGGAGCTCCGGGAGACAGCGATGATGAAGAGGAAGAGGGTGTCGTTTCATCTGGGGGAATGGTGGTTGGCTTCTTTGGTTTCTATAGAGGACTCTCTTCCCATCAAGTTAGTATCTTTTTCCATTTTTTTTTGTTTTCTTAAGCTCTGGCTCCCTTAATCAGGTCTCCTCTCCAGTTTCTGTGTTAATTTTATCACTTGAAATCACTACTTTTCTGGGGTTTCGTTGATTTTTCTGTTTGTTGGTATTATGCTTTTGAATTTCTACCTGTTTATTATTCTCTAATTTGATTCTCTTGTGGTTGTAGTTAGAAAAAAATATAAGGGACAGTATGAATCTCTATCTGATTTTAATCATAGAACCAGCACTCTGAAGGGAAACACCATCAACTGAAATTTGAACTTCTTTGTGGTATTTTGTTCTTAATTACAAGGAATCTAAAGGGTTTGTTTTCATTGAATTTGCAGGAGGGGATTGTCGAATCATTATGTAGGGAAATCAAAGTCATTTGCTAATCTCTCAGATATAAGCACAGTGAAAGATCTGCAGAAGCTAGAGAATCCTTTCAACAAAAGGAGGAGGGTGTTACTTGCAAACAAGTGGTCCAGGAAGTCATCTTTCTACTCTTGGCAGAACCCCAACTCCATGCCCCTCCTGGCTTTGAATGAAGAAGATGGAGAGGATAAAGAAACGCCATCAACTTCATCATCATCATCATCGTCATCATCAAATGATAAAATATCAGTAACAGCACAGAAACCAAAATTGCAGCAAAGCAAGCTGAAGGCCACTTTTAAGTCGCAGAGTTGTTTTTCTCTAACAGATCTGCAAGTAGAACATCAATGACACCCTTTGCTTTCAGCATGAAAAATGCTTTAGGATTTAGATCAGGCCCCCCTTTTTTTGTTTTTTTTTTAATTTTTTTTTACTTGTCCCTCCCCTTTTCTTCTCTATTTACTCATATTTACTCAGAAGAAAAACAAATTTTTAGCAAGTAAAAGTATATATAAAAATAAATATCTTTGCAACATGAAATCATCCTCCTCATTTTTGATATAGCAGACATGAGATGAGGTAGACATAGTTATGGATAGGGATGATGGATCATGTTCATGTATGTATG